CTCCTCCTCCTCCTCATTGTCCTGTTCCTTGATTGCAGCGCTGCCCGTACCTTTCCGCCTGCTTTCTGCGGCCGGCCGCCGCTGTCGGTACAGAGCTCCTTCGCCCTACGCGGCCGGCCCTGCGCGGAGCAACGGGGCGGCCCGCGGAAGGCGGCAAGGCCAGGGAGGACGGAGGAGGAAGGGAGCGAGGGGGAGCGAGGAGAAGGGGGACTGAGAAGCTGGGGCAGGGGGGGAGGATGGGGGAGGAGGGAGGAGGGAGGGGAGGGGGGGGAGGAGGGGGGAGGGCCAGGGAGGAGGGAGGAGTGAGGGAAGGAGGAGGGCGTGAGGGAGGGAGGAGGAAGGAGGGAGGAGGGAGGGAGGGAGGGAGGGAGGAGGGAGGAGGGGGAGGAGGGGCGAGAAGCAGAGGGGAGGTGGGATGAGGAGGGAGGAGGGGGAAGGGGAGGGAAGAGGAGGAGGGAGGGCCAGGAAACTGGGGGGAGGGAGGGGGGAGGGAGGGCAGGGAGGAGCAGGGGCGAACCACCAGTGGCCGAACGCCGCCGGAACCGGGGAGGTGTCGAAGCGGGCGCCCGTGCCCCACAACCGGTCGGGGGGCCCTGCCGGCGGCGGGGACCCCACTCACTCCTCGGGTTTCCGCGCCTGCGGGGCGGCGCTCCAGGGGGGCCGCCGCTGTTCGCCGCCGTCCTTCTTCGTCGTCGCCGCCGCCGCCATGGTGGTGGTGGTGGTCGTCGTCGTCGTCATGGTCGTCGTCGTCGTCGTCAACGTCGTCAGCGTTAGCGTCGGAGTCGTCGACGTGGTCGCCTTTTATCCGGTCGTCCGGTCGTCCGTCCTGACCACTACTGTCAAATGCGTCGTCGTCATCGACTTTCGTCGTCACCAGCGTCAGTCGTCACCGTGCGTTCGTCTTTCGATCGTCGTCTGGCCGTCCTCGTCGTGATCGGTTTCCTCCAGCTCTTGTTCGTTCTCCTCCTCCTCCTCCTCTTTCTGCTCCTCCTGTTCGTCCCCGGTGTCCAGACGAAGGAGAAGGACGAAGAGGAGGCAGAAGGCAGGAGGCAGGGGGGGCTTGTGGCGGGAATCGTTGGCGGCCACACGAACTCTTGTCTTGCCTTTGCTTCTGGGTCAAATAGAATGGCAATCCGCATAATTGGGCGAGGTGCGGGGCGACCACTGTGCAGGAAATTTGCCGCTAGCTTCAAATTGTCCCCAAAAAAGGTGGCTGGTGGCTGGACACGGGAACACGGGACCGTTCTCGGTCCCGCCGCGCTACTGTTCTGATCGGCTGCGGCTGCAACCTGCGGCATCTGTGTCACGCGTCTGCCGTTATTTTGCGTGGCGAGGTGTCGCCTCGTCGCCAGGCGCCGCCCGATTTATTTCGAAGGTACTCCCGTGCCACTGGGGCGCAGCCTAATCGTGCAGCGGCAGGCTCATGTGGACCAGGTGTCGTCTCACGCGCCTGCAATGGTGTCTCGCTGTGGTGATCTCGAGCAAGGGCAGCGCCCCTTAAAGAAGAAGATGTTTGTTGCATGCGTTCGGCAGCTTGCAGGGGAAGCCATTCCGAGGGAAGGCGAGAAGACAGAGGCTAAACAAAAACAAGGTTTCAATGAGGGGGCCGAGGGAGGACGGAGGAGAAGGCTGCAACTGGATGGCCGTAACGAACACAACCTTCTCCCCCTCTCCCTCTTCCATGTCGCTCCCTCCTCACTCCTCTATCCTTCTCCCTCCCTCCATCCATACATCTTCCTTCTATGGTGCATATTCCCTCCGCGTCGCGCCACCCGACGTGAGATCAACGCGGCCCGTGCGTTTCGCCAAAGCCTTGCTCGCCGTTTGTGGTCTTGCAAGCTCGACGCGTTCATCGGGTCGGGCGAAAGGGGGGGATAGCAAAGGGGGGGTTTGAGAATCAGCTCGCGTAGCTGATTTTCCGGGCGCCTCCCGGCGCCGGAGGCGGCTATGTATCGAGGAATGGGCCCCTCGGTGAGGCCGAAACCAGCTGCATGCAGCAAATTTCGTAACCCCCCCTTTCCCAATCCCCCCCTTTCGCCCGACCCGAGTTCAGCAGTCACGCGGAGGGACGGCCGGCGTGTGGTTATGAAGAAGGGGCTGTCGCCTGTCGCATTGGCACCGCGCACACTCGGAGGAGGATGAAGAGGAGGAGGATCGGAGGAGGATCGGAGGAGGATTGGAGGAGGATTGGAGGAGGATTGGAGGAGGATTGGAGGAGGAGGAGGAGGAGGAGGAGGAGGAGGATTGGAGGAGGAGGAGGAGGAGGAGGAGGAGGAGGAGGAGGAGGATTGGAGGAGGAGGAGTTGGCCTCTCGCCTTGGCTGCCGCGAGGCGGAGGCCGCCGCCCACCACCTCCATGGGATGTCTCGCGAAGCTTTCGGGGCCCCAACGTGCTGCCGCCCCTGGCTCGGCCGTCGGCTTTCCGTTGAAGTCCAGAACCACCCTGCACGCCGCGTGGCGGGGCCCGCAGACCACCGAGCTGAGCATAATCAAAGAAGGTGCAACGGATTTCTTAGAGTGTTACTGTGCGCGCAGAGAATATCAGAAAGTTTGATCGAATTTGCCAACTTATGAAGAACTTATATATATATATATATATACCCAGACAGTGTTTGTTGGGTAGGTCCGCTGAAGTTTCGCGTGCTGCCCAGTTGGTGCCCGCCCGAGGGCGCCTCGTGCGTTTGCTTGGTCCGCCAAGTTTCGCCTGGTGCCCAATTTGTGGCGGGTCGTGGGCGCATCATGGGCGCCCCGTGCGCTGGATGGGTCCGCCGGGTTACGCCTCGTGTCCGCGCGCGGCCACCCATGGGCGATTGTGGGCGCGAAGGCCGCCTAGTTTGCACCCTTGCACCACATAGTTTGCAACACATAGCTTGCACCACGTAGCCTGTGCAACGTAGCTTGCACCACAGCCCATGCCACATAGATTATGTTGGATGTTCCATACCAAGTTTACCACCACCACCACCCGCCCAAGATTATTTGCCCCCCTGGGACACCGCAAATTACATATAATGTTTTCTCGTGGTTCACTTTGCATATGAAACCATACAATCCCAAGCAGTCCTCTCGACCATCCAGCTATCCGTACTACTAGTCGCGCAAACCCGTTGATTGCAATAAACACAATGTTTCAATAATCTCCTGCAGCGACACGGGAGGAAACCTATACGGGCTCGCAGATGTCGAAATTATACCAAGCATGTCATTCATGCACGGACTTGGAAATACAAGTGTATCAGGTGTTTGAGAGCCTTACAGTGAACAGCAACAAATGTTGTTGAGCACCTAGACTAGATCCTCCAATTTTCCACCGAAAATCTTGCAACTGTTCCGCCCGCGCGCACTTGCTGAACTCACCCGAAAACCAGACCTTCGCACAAACCCTGCGTTCTAATCTCGCCACGCAGTGCATCCGTGTTGATCCACCACGCGCCCAGCGCGCAAATCTCCACCAAATATTACAATACGGGCCACACGTGCGCGCCTCCACGTGGGCATGTCAAAACTCGTCCAAGACTGCTGCTTCTCGAACCATTTCAGAATCAAGCTCCAAGCACGCACGAAACAACAATGTGCGAATCAATGAACAATTGCTCGGCTTTCGATTTCCCGCACGCGCGCGCAAGTGTTCACCGTAGTCCACATCAGCGTCGCGACATCACGTCATCGTCATCGACAATCGCCGCCATTGCCGCCACCATCACTCAAACACCTTCATAATCGACACATGGCAATAAACACCGTCACCAGCGCTGCCAACATCGGCGCCGTCGTTGGCCTTGCCGTCGTCACCGCAATCATCGTCACCACCTTCGCTATAATCATCATCTTTGCCGCTGTTGCCGACGTCATCACGGCGCCGCGCCCATCCGAAACACTGACCCACATTGAAGTGCCCGCGCGCCAGCGCTGTCTTTGACGCGCGCAGGAAAACTCCCATCGGTAGTCGCCATCGCGGCCGCATCGGCTGTGCCAAATTGGCTGGGCGGTGCGCGCGAGCTTGCGCGCGCCAGCGCGGCCACCAAGATGCACCAGCCTTGGCCAAGCAATCATCGCAATCACCGCCGCATGGGTTTTGCAAACCAAGTTGCTGGAGGGAGGGTGAGATGTGTGCGCAAGCAGTGGAGTTGTGGAGTTCACAGCTCTCTGCTTACATGAATTAATCACACCACATACCTTACACACTGCAAATATTGCGCCACCCCACTCCTAGCGTATTCTACATAGCTTGCACCGCATAACGTACAGCACATATGTTGCACGACGTAGTGCAACATAGCTTACACCTCATTGCTGCACCACAGAACTTCGACTTGTGCAGTGCAACAACCCACTGCTCGGAATCCACGCTGGCCAACATTATCGTCAACTACTTACTTCAACAACTTGCTGTTGAACGACTTCGACATGCGCGCTCGGCGACGAGCGCGTGTCCGCATGGTACAACTGCATGAGAATTCGTAAAATACGCGTTTGTGATATCAACGAATGTGCAATGCATGGTATTACTTACCATGGATGGCGGGAGGGACGATACTGGATGGCCGGAGAGAACATCCTTGTTGGAAAACTAGCACGAAAGATCGTGCACCATGAACGTACACAAAAAAGCAACACGCGGAGGGGAGGCGCTCATCCCGGCCTGGGCAGGGGGCACGTCGAATCAGGAACCCGAGCGGCGGCATCTCTGTGCTTGCGCCAACTTGAGCAGTGACCGACCGTCCCGGAATTCCTAAAGGCCTGCCGCGACCTGTTCTTAGAACCCAATAATGTTCGATAACAACAACAATCTTCTTAGAACACAAGCCCGATGCGGTAAAACAAAACCGCCCCGGCCAGAAACGCTCTAAGAACATCTCGTGCAGACCACAAAAGGTTCTCAGAACATCCTTTTGTAGGCCTACAGTTGAGTCGGGGCTGTCCTCCTACAGGGAGATCTTGGACGAAAAATTAAAAATACCCAGAAATACCCCCCGAATGTTCAACAATACTCAAAAAATAATCCGCAGACAATTTTTGTGTTTTTGTTGAATATTCCCCCTGTAGAGGGACAGGCCCGACTTAAGCCTATTAGCCGAGCCAGGACGCTTCGCCACTGCTTCACCAACCGAGCGACAAAGTGCAGGGCACCGCCAGCCGGCGCACCGGCGCGGCGACGAGGCGGCGGGCAACCAAAGGCCGGCCCAGCATCGCGACCCGGCGCAACAGCCGGCGACGGGCACCCGCCGAGCGAAACATCCAGGGACCGCCTGGGGGCGCGCGAGGCGGCGACGCGCGCCCACCAGGGGGGGTAATTTTCAAAATGGGGTTCTGGCCCTGACGCCGCGAACCCTCGTTTTTTAATACCAAAAATTTGACATTTACACAAATGGAGGGATGACTATCTTCAAAATCACACTGGAATGTCTGCTTGAGTGCCGCGAACAGTCGTCTTGAACCAAGCACAGCGACAGGATGGACTTCCTTCTCAAGAGAGCCCCGGGGCCGCCGCCCGGCACGCGAGGCGGCGGCGAGGCGGCGCCCGGCGGCCACCGGGCGAGAGCTCGGAAGAGCAGGGCCAGCACAGAATCGACAACGCACGCAAGAACCCCCGTGCAAGGGAGATGCAGGAGGAGGAGGAGGAGGAGGAGGAGGAGGAGGAGGAGGAGGACCTGACCACAAAACGCTGCCTAGCCTCATTCGCAGCGTCATGAACGCTCCATGGCTGGGTCTCTCGACCCCACCATGGTCTCCTCGGGCCTGACCTATCCGCGAGTATTCTTGGCCTCGAAAGTGGCGGAAGCGCTAGTTGTGTGTTTCCACCGCGCTGGGATGTCAAGTCCATCTCGACGAAATCCGCCGCTGAATATCATCCACAGATCCCCTTCCAGGTACTGACTGTCACGACGCGTCCTCGGGACAGCGCACGTCCCATCAAGGCCACCCCAATGCCCAGAAACAAGCGAAAGCCATGGAACGTCAGGGTACCTCCCACCTCGGAATCGAGCCCGAAAGCGCGTTCAGACGAGGCGACAAGGGGGACTCCCGAAATGTTCAGAATAGGAGGATGGGGTGAGGCCCTACTCTTTCCGGGGGTCTCTGGAGTTTTTCTCGTGCCGTTTGTGCCTGCCCCCCCCCCACGTTTCAAATCGTGCCTCGCCTCTCGCCGCCGCCTGCGCTCGCTGATCCCCCCTGTGACGAGCCGCTCCCTTTATGTCGGGCGTGTCCCCCTACAGGAGGATTTTCAACGAAAAACAAAAAATCCCCCAAAAGGCTCCAAAAAGGCCAAGAAATTCCCAAAAAATTGTCCCAAGACTATATTTGGACTATTTTGAGGGTATTCTCTCCCTGCAGGGGGACACGCCCGATTTAACGGTCCCTCCAAATCTTCCCGCGCTCATGTTTCCACCAGGGAACGGTCCCGGAGCTGCAAGCCGCCGCATCGCCGGAGAGGCACGGATGCTGCTCTCGTTCCCCGAAGTGGGGGGCGCGAGCGTCCAAGAGTACCCCAGGGGTCTCCGGGGCAGAGCCCCCTGGCCGCCCGAAGTTCAAAACAGACGCCAAGGCACCTCGGTGTCTTGAGCCCAAGGCGAGAATCGATGGTCGAGGTGATTGGGCCCGAGGACTCCTTCGCAGAAGAAGAAGAATAACAATAATGAGAATGACAAAGAAAGGAGGAGAAGAGTAACAACACCAACTACATCAACATAATATATCGGAGTTCCGCGCGAATTCCTGGGATGCTGGCGCGCGGAGCGCGCTAGGGGCGGAGCCAGAGCCGCCGCCAAGGGGGGCCAGCGCGCAGACTTCCGACAACCTATGTGTATGACGAGTGTTATTCTTCCACTTCTGCTCCTCCTGTTCCCCACCCTCCCATCAGCTCCACTCTTCCGATTGCGCATGGCACGATGAAGTCCTTTTGTAACTCCAGGTTCACTATTGCACGCTATGGCTGGGGGCAGCGCCAGAGGCGCCGCTGCGAGGTGGGTACTTGTCCATCATATCCACCGCCTGGGGAACCGGTGTCGTTGGGACCCTCTGGGGCGTCGGACGTGGACACGAGGTGGTCCCCGCTGGGGCCCGAATGCCTCTACGTCCACTGCCCCCCGAGGCCCCGAGGCCCAGGAAAATATGCTTTTCACTGGGCGGTGGATGCGGACAAATCCACAGCCTCGGATACCCCCACGCGCTTGGAGTACCTTGCGGGACCTGCTCTAGAGCAGGACCTTACCGTAGACGGATCTACCCTCTCTCCGACCTTGTCTTGCGCCGAACGCGACGGGCATCAGCCACATTGCCTATAGACGCATCCACCCCGAATCTGCCCATATATCTAATTAGCGACCTCCAGTTTGTCTGTAGACGCTTGTGGCCAGAAATCATAGTGAAAACGGTCGTTGGTGCAATCAGGGCCCAGATATTCGGTCTCCTACAAGCAGGCAGACGTGGCCCTCCAAGTAAACTCCAACGTCTCGAAGCCCCCCACGCGCGCGCGTCTCCTTGGCGGGGTCCACACCGCCGAAGAGGGAGCGGTCGATGCTGAGGAGGCCCTTGGCGCTGCCTGCCGGGGCAGGGCCCCTCCCCGCCCGGCTGCGGCCACGAGCCGTCTCGCCCCCGAGCCGACCCCTCCACGGGGAGCAGGCGGAGGGAGGCAGGGTCCATCCTCTGGGGGGGTAGTAAAGGGCGGGGTCGCGAATCAGCTGGCGTAGCTGTGTTTCCCGGCGCCTCCGGACGCCGGTGGATGCCGGTGGCGCCAATGCGTCGAACAGGGGCGCTGGTGGGGGCGAAACCAGCTGCATGCAGCCGGCATCCTACCCCCTCTCTTTTCCCAATCCCCTCCTTTCGTCCGACCCAAGAGGGAGGGAGGTTGGCGGACGCAAAACTGCTGCCGACTGGCGGCTGCCCAAAGGCGGCTGGAGAGTCTGTAACCCAACAAAGCACGGTAAGGGTACAACTCTGTAGCCGCCCTGTAACAGGCGTCCCCTACAGCGGAACGACATGCGACCGCGAGAACGGAACAACTCATTGAATACCGCTCTTTGTCCGCTAAGGCTTGAGGAGGCGGGAGGGAGGAGATTAATTAGGTGGCAAGGAGAGGAGGAGGCGGAACGGAGGAGAGGCGAGGAGGGAGGGGTGGAGGAGGTGGGAGGGAGGAGAGGAAGAGGAGGAATGGGGAGGAGGGCTCGGGAAGGAGGATGGCGGCTCGCCGGGAGGAGAGGGAACCAGGAGTGAGGAAGGACGGAAGAGGGAAGACCATGGAGGGCAGGAAGAGGGGTGGAGGAATGAGAACAAGGGAGAGCGAAAGATGAGGATGAGGAGATTGAGGCGGAAAAGAGCATGAAGAGGAGAAGGAGCATCGCACGGCTTCGTGAAGGGTTCGACTTCGCTCACGGCGACTCGAGCGCTTGCCTAGGGAAGCCTTGGGGGAGGAGGCGGAGGAGGTGGCGGAAGATGAGGAGGAAGAAGAGGGGTAGGAGGATGGAGAGGAGGAAAGAGGAGGGGAGGTAGAGGAGAGGAGGAGGTGGAGAAGGAATACGGCGGTGGACGAAAAGGGGGATGATGGACGAGGAGGAGGAGGAAGAGGGGGGATGGCCGAGGATGAGGACGAAGAGGGAGATGAACGAGGAGGGGAAGGAGGATGAGGAGGAGGAGGAGGAGCGGACCTGTGTAAACCTAAGAGTTATCAACGATGTTGGAAGTAACCCTCCCTCCAAGATCCCTCTTCGTAGGCCCCTACAACGGTTCATTTCCATTGAGGGAGCAGCCTCGTTGGAAGACAACCGTTTGAAGATCCTGAAACATGCCAAAACATTGTTCTCTGGATTTCAACGCCACGTATCAACCTGACTGCTGCGTTTGAATGTCAAAACCACGAATCAACAGAAATGTTGCACCCGCATAATCCTGAATCCTTCCAACACAATTTTTGGTACGTTGACCATGGGAGTCCGTGAAACTCTTGCAAATTCTTAAAACGAATGTGCGCGGCGGCGAGGTGAGAGCCACATTTTGAAAAGGAACCGCACTCAATCCGTGAACTTCTTACAACGTTTAACAAAGAATGTGCGCTGCGCTGCAACGAAAACCATATTTGGAAAACGACCCGCCCTCAATCCGTGAAACTCTTGCAATTGTTTAAAACGGATGTGCGCGACGATAAAGCGGACACCACATTTTGAAAACCATCCGCCCTCAATACACGAAATCCTTGCAAATGTTGAAAACGAATGTGCGCGGCGCTAAGGCGAGAGCCACATTTCGAAAACCACCACCCCTCCATCTGTGAAGCTGTTCTCTTTTTAAGCTTCAGAGTCATAGACGGTGCGGAAGTCTCACGCGAAACGCCAGGCCCGCCCTAAAACTTGCCTCGGGGTGCGACAGGAAGGAATTATCTATAAGGAGAAGGATGAGGATGATGATGAGGAGGAGCAGGAAACAGAAGGAGAGGAAGAAGGGGAAGAGGAAGAGGACGGAAATGGACGTGGGGGGTACGAAGGAGAAGGAAGGGCAGGGGCGGGCGGCGGGCGCGGGCGGCCCTGGAGGCGATCGCGCAGGTGGCGATTCTGCGCCTTGGGCCGCGGGCGCGGGAGGACGGGGGGCGGGCAGGAGCCGGGCGAGCGAGGAGGCGGAGCAGGATGAGGGCGGAGGACGTGGGGAAACCAAGAATACGGAGGAATATGCCGACAGTACATATTACAATGATGAGAAAGGAAATGGAAGAAGACTCGGCATCGCGCGCGGTCTGCGCCGTGCCTTCCTCGCGCGTGCAGCTGTGCGGGAGGGCCCTGCCCCGAGCGATCGGCGAGCGCGTGCGTCGAGGTCGAGTGCAGCGCGCAGGGTGCAGCCCATCGTTCACTTGAGCACTTCGGCGGTCGTAAACCTTGAAACTCTTCCGGGGCTGGGGGCGAAAGGCCGGATGGGAGAGAAAGGGGGGAGTTCGCTGGAATCCGCTGGCAACCACAATGCGAGTGAGGGGGAGGAAGGGGAGGCAGGAACGGAAAGAAGGGGGAAAAAAGAGGAGGGGGAAGAAAAGGGAGTTCTTCCGCTGTGTAAAAATCCAACCACCGTAGAAAAAAAACCAGACTGCTGAAACTCGATGGCAAGACATTTTAGGCTGACTCGTCACCCTGATTCCTCTCGCCAGTGGCTGGGAACCCTCTTCTTCGCGGAGGGCAGCCGCCGCCGCCTGCACGAGCTGCTGGAACATGGGACGGGGGGGGGGCTGCACCTTGGAACCAGGCGCATCTTCAGACATTGCAGCATCAAGGACGCACAGAGCACCGCCCCATGCAGAGGCAGGCTGACGAAAAGATATCCTCACTACTCCGCTGGAGAGTCTGCATCTGCTTCGGGCTGATTTGGCGCGGGCGCTCTCACGCCACAGTGCACGCCGAATGGCCAGGGACCCACTTGAACACACAAAACACCAAACGCCCCTTGCTCCAGCTCATGGCTAGCGTGCAACGACTTCCCACGAATAAGCGGCAGTTGACAGATAGTGGAAGGAAGGATCTTCCATCCCCAAGCGTTGCCACAACCGAACATCGACAAATGTGTCAGGCTCCGAGGAAGGAACGACCCCGGAGAAAGGCATTGGGGCCCTGGGGGCCAGGGCAAAGCAGACCGAGAAAACCAGGCTCCCAAATCCCGCGGGATATTGACGAGCCCTGCGGCCACAATCCAAACAAATCCAGGATGAACGTGGCCCATGAAAGCATGACTCCGGACAGAATCTCTGGCAGATTCGAGCCCATGTCGCCCTTTTCCGAGCGAACAACAGGGTTTTTCGCGACGACGCGCGAGCGATCTTTCGGACCAGGCGCAACGTTGATCGCAGACGGAACCAGACGAAACAAAGCGGATTTGGTCTTCTCCCCCAGAGCCAAGACCTCTCGGCAAATGTGAGACTGTGTCCGTGCCATCCCGACATGTGAATCGACACGACTTCTTCAGTTGATCTGCGCTGCCAAGGCACGGTGGGAAGCGAACTGACTCAATAGAGGCAGTGCGCAACGACACCAAATGCCAGGACTCCGACCACGGGTCTGCATTCGTACGGAAGTGCGCGCAGTGGTTACTTATGCAAAAAATGTTTCACGTCGTTGAGGCGGCGACATACACGGGTCAAGATTTCGTTCCAAGACACATGGCGGACAGCCTCGATTAGACCAGCGAGCTCGGCCTCAAGGGCCGCATGCCTTTTTTTTTCTGCGACGAGACAAGTGGCCTCGCGACTCCAGCAAAACGCTCCCCCAACGACGCCCTGCCTTACAAAGGCGAACGCACTTCGGCACGTCGCGGGGTGTGTTGACCCAGCTCCTCCTGCGCGGCCGGCCTTGCGCGCGTCTCCCTGAACGAGGTTCGAAGGCTCGCGACCTCGGGGCGCAAGGGGGCGCTGCTCGGGCAGAGAAAGGGGGGCTCTCCGCGGGGATAAACCCCCGCCACCCTAAACACCGGGCAAGTGCCATTCGGCAACAGCACCGCGTCTTAAATGCTCACTGGCCTGAGCCCTTACGAGGTAACTCCTGGAGTTGCCCGCGCACTGCCGCCCTCCATGATTGGGCGCCACGACCTTTTGTTGCCTGGCACCGCTGGCACAAAGGATCTTGGAGTAGGACGCGTTGATGCTGCCTGTCTGCTGGCGACATTCCACCGCTGGCGACGACCCTGATCGTCGCCGGAAGTCCAGCTTGCCCTTCTTCGACGACGTGTCTGGTGAGTTTTCCTGCATGCTGCTGTAGTCAATCTTGAAAGCCTCAGCCCGCTGGCTCGCTTCTACCGCGTCGCCAGGACCCCGCGGGGGCAGGGCGACAGGGCTGTCCGCCCACCAGAAGCACCCAAACGTCTCCAACAGGACTAGCAAACTTGCGCGGGCTAGGCATGCGCCACCCAAGGGAAAGAATGGCGGCCTGTCGGGCGCCGAGGGGACCTCGCGCCCGCGCCCAGCCAGTCTTGACCCGATCCAGAGAAACATTTTCCTGACTGGCCCAGTCAGGTGGCCACAAAAGCGACGGGCATGAGCCTGCAATGGGCCGCGCCCCGCCCAGGAACCCAGGCGGGCGGCGGCCGCGCGACGAGTGCCCTTGCTGCTAGCAGTGTTTGCCGTCCTGGCTCAGCTCCAAAGGCGCTTCAACGACGACGGACGACTGCCCTAGACTTCGGCTGCCCGCGCAAACTTCGGGCAGGAGTTCGTGAAACATCAACTTCGGGCAACGCCCGTCTATCTTGGCGCATCCCCCCATCTCCCCAGCAGCCCGAAAACCTCGCCGTCGCCCAGCAGTCGACCCATTCACTTAGCGTCTGTTTCCTCTAGTGGTGACGAGGCCGCGGCCGCGAGCGTCAGAGACAAGTTTCGCGCCCCCAGACATTATTCCTGGCCTCGGCCCCCGCGACTTGGCATGTCGCCGCGGGCGAGAAGTCCAAAGAGCAAAACTCTTTCGCGCGATGGGGCGAAGTTAGCCGCCATTCTCATCCATCGACGCCGTATGACAATGGGCTTTGGCGAATGGCAATGCGACCGTTTCCTCGATCGCTCCGAGGAGACCAAGAAGCGCCCCCCGTCATCGACGCCTGCAGCGTCGATGACCCCAAAAGGGATGGGGGGGGGGGCGGTCGCGTCGCCCCCCCCCCGCCGTCTGGGAACTTGGACTGGGCCCGGCGCCGACACCTGGGCGCGTCGGGGGCAGTGGGGGGCTGCCCTTAGCATCGGACAGCGCGCGCGCTAAACAACTGCGGGCTGAAACAGGAAGGCCTCGCTGCCAGTGACTCGCCCGCGCCGGCGCCCGAAGTCTCGCGCGCTCGGAAACGCCCCCCGGCAGCGCCCCGCTCGCGTTCCAAACCTTCGACAACGACAGAACTCTGCCTTCACACCTGCGCGCTACGCGCGCTGGGCCTTCTCGGGCCTCGCCCAACCACTTCAGTTCAAAAGCTGTCGGTGCTGCTGCGGTCCTGCCCGCGAGGCGACGCCCGAAATTGCCCGCTAGCTTAATCGCGCCCCGCCGGGAGTGGAGCGGGACAAGAGGAAGCGCCGCAAGACGGGCTGGCCACGCACCTCGCACGTCACATCGGCCTTATCTCCTCCACAAAAGGGCGCGGGGGGGCCAAGAGCGGCCACCCTCCGCGCCAGCCCACGGAAGTGTCCAACCGACCCAGAGCGCGGTCGCACGCGCGTCGCGCCACTTGAGGCACACTGCTAACTGGACCGAGAGACACTGCCAGCATTTAGCCTGGCGAACGACAGCGCTCGGGGCCTCCACCTGCACGGGATGCAACGCGTGCGCATGAGCAACCAAGTGGCGCCCTCCTCCTACGAGCTGCCATGCGCCGCTCGACCGCCCCCTGCCCGGGCCAGTGACTCAGCGGGCGCCGTGCAGAGGGCCTGGGGCGGAAATGCAGCGAAGGCAGAAGTGAGCCCTGAACCTTTCGGATGACCCAGAGCGGCGGGCGATTCCAAACGCCTCGCGGATAGGCCCCGGGGGCCGCGCGCGCGCGCCAGGATTGACTTGCCCCGCTGTCCCGAGGAACGGGCTCGAACCCCGGAAGGAAAGACGCAGCTGTCTTGGGGCGCTCACTAACCAATATATAACGCACGAGGGTCGCGCGCTCACGGGCTTCGCAGGTGCGCGGCGCGGCAGGCATGGCCGCCGGCCCCGTCCTGAGGCGACAAAGGGAAAATTGCTAAATGAGAGCTACAAAAATACTTTCCAGCCCCCAAGACAACGATGGGAACTCCAAACCAGCCGAACTCACTAAGAAACCTCACGGTGGGACCCCCGAGCCGAACAGACGAGTACAAATGAACTGGAACAAGCGTGATAGTCATAATCCTCAGACGGGGCGCACAGATCGGCGGCCTACTCATATGTCTGGGAGCTCCCAGGAGGAAGGGTGGACGAGGTCAAAGAGATGGAGATGTGGGCGCGCAGTAACCACCACCCCATCAGTTGCGTCAGCAGCTTGCGCGACGTCACCTTCATGCGCAATTATTTTGCACCGCGCAAACATAGTTCCATGGCCATCGACAGAAAACTGGGGCCCATTACGCAATGCTCCGCCAACACTGGAACCTGGCCAATTTTGCGCTTCTCCTTGCGCGCCTCCTCGACCTCCGACTCGGCGCAAGCGCCGGGTGCTGCTTCGTCCTCGCGGCAACCCCAGCCAAAGCCGCATGGCGCATTCCCTGACCTCAACTGCGCGAACTCCCCCGACTGTTTGGGAACTGCTGATGTCGGCCCCCGCGAACTCGGGCCCGTCGGCGTCGCGAGCCCCCCCTCAGCTCGAAATCGACGCCCGCCCGGGTCGCAGCCATCATCGGCCAGCAACTTGTCGAGATGGGCAGCGCTCTCCCGATTGCCATCTCAACGACGCCAAGGCGGCAGCGCGCGATGCTGCCGTAGACACCTCTGTCTCTGCATTCTGCTCAACAAGAGGCACTGCTCAACCCCGCGGCCAGCCGCTGTCGCCTGCTTATCCACCAGCATCGCGGCGCCAGGCGCAGCCAGGATATCGCAAGTAAAGTGGCGCTCAGCCACCTCGGCGGCCTGGCACTCAATCGCGAACCCTGGCAAGG